TGAGTGGAGGCGCAGAATAAACATATCAATAGAAACAGAAGATTTAGGCACATAAAAGTTTCTCTCACCAATCAGAGCAACGCCATGAGATTAATTCTATATTCACCAAAGAGAACCAAAAGAAAAGCGCACTGTGGAGCAGTTTTCCCATCCTTGTCATCATCAATAAGTGAAGTAGAAGCAGAATTTTGACCATTGGTGAGTGGGCCAGCGGTAATAGTTTTTAATCTAGGAATTCTTATTTTTTCTTTAGAACTGTGTGTAGCAGTACTAATACCCATGTTCCACCATTTTTCCTGATCATGTAAATAGGCATGAAACTAGTAAATAGCATGCTGGTGTAAATGAAAATCATTCAATAGAAAACATGAGCAAATTAATGATAATTCCTGTTTCAAGAAAAAAAGACAAGAAATACAGAAATTACATGGATTAGCAGCTGCAACTAAAAACATTCACATACTGGTAAAAGAAACAGACAGAATCAGATGCAGATAAAACCATCAGCATAGCAGCAAATGAAGCAGAGAGTTGATGTGGCAACATCAACCTCATAAAGATCTTGAATATGTTAAAGAAAACTTGCACAAGCATCATCTTTACCACACAAGATGATTAATAATCCACTAACTACAAACTGAAATCCACCTAAAAAGGGCCCACAACATTATGGGTCGTGTGAGGAAATATGAACCGAGAAAGGGCCCACAGCAGAACCTCACAATCAGCCCAATATCACTTCCAGTGCCCGGTCCACCAGCACTCTGCAAACAGAAATGGGTCTAGGCCCAAAAAGAAAAAGCTAAAAATAAGGTTACATATCTTTCAATGTACTTAACCAGATATTTTTCAAGATAATACAAGAAGAAAATGGAAATTTGAATTACAGGCTACAATGACCATATATGGTTTTTATGAATGGTCTACTACTCAATGTGAGTTTAAAATTTTCTTTAACAAGATTGTTAAGAATGAATTTTGCCAAGATTGAACTCACTTTAAGAATGGTTAATTAATCCAATGCTATTCACGCAAACAATTATACAGGACTCAGAGGGAATTTCAAATCAGTTGTTGTCAAGGGTTCATTATTTGAGACTCCTTAGCTTCCCTTTGCCAACATACTTCCGAATGCCATAGATACTAGAAATGCAACTGCATTCCCCACTTGTATATACCTACAAATTAGATGGAAATAGACAAATATTAGACACCAAGGAAACAATTTAGAGCGCTGCTATTTGCCTTAGACCTTTTTTCTTTTGGACCCTCATCTCTTAATATTGATAATTATTTGTTTATTCACCATGCTGGTTTACTATTTACTTGGGTGACATTTGTTCTTTATTGAGAATATGATTGATAATCTAGTCAAACCTTTGGCAATTAAATTGTGCAAATGTTCATGAACAACTGTTGTTTTCTTGTCTTTCCGTGCATATTTCTTCTACAAGGCATCTCATGACATGGATACACGATTTGGGATTAACAAAGAGCAAAGCGATTCTACTACTAAAGCATCGCTTGAGAAGATGAAAACCCTATTTATCAGAAAGGGTTGTGGATTCTCCTCACGGAGTGTTATTACAGGTGATGCATATAAAGGAGTCAATGAGATTGGACTGCCTTTTGAAATTGCTCAACGGATAACATTTGAGGAGAGAGTTACTCAATATAACATGCAGTATCTGCAGAAGCTGGTTGATGAAAAGTTGTGTTTAACCTATAGGGATGGTTTGTCAACCTACTCGCTGAGGGAAGGTTCGAAGGGGCATACTTTTTTAAGACCTGGTCAAGTGGTACATCGACGGATAATGGATGGGGATATTGTTTTCATCAATAGACCTCCGACAACGCATAAACATTCCCTGCAAGCTTTGTCGGTTTATGTTCACGATGACCATAAAATACGGATTTCAACGATTATATGTGGGCCACTTAGTGCTGATTTTGATGGTGATTGTGTCCATATATTTTATCCTCAATCCCTTGCTGCAAAATCAGAGGTTTTGGAACTGTTCTCTGTAGAGAAACAGTTGCTTAGTTCTCATAGTGCAACTAACGAATGTATTTTGGACTCTTTTTAACTCTAAAATTAGACATTAACCATACAGAGGGAAACATAAAACTTAAACCTTCATCTCCGCAATACAGAGTAAACTCATTCCCCATGTAGTGTACACAACCAAAGACCAACAAGAAAATAATAAAACAAAAATAACATGTGATTTTTGGCAACGCAAAATATACATATTAGCCATAATGAGATACACAAAACTTTTGTGACTAATAAACACACACAAATTTCATCAACAAAATTGTTAGTTATATTCTAACACAAGCACAAATCACTAGTCCCACATAAATCAATTTATAAGAATCTTCTTCTAACAAGAAAACTATTATTTATATATATGTGTACGTACCTTATCGGGATGAAGATAGACTTTGTCTCTGAAGAGAAGAACAACACTGGCCTCATCAAGAACACGGGTGAAAGCAGCGACTGAGTGTTCCTGAAAATCAAATAATTGTAGTATTTCAAATAATTCATGTACAATTACAGACTCTCACTGAAAACACTATAACTGAAATACATGGAGTGACAAATACTAAAAAATGATTAATCAAAGATCCTAAATTTACTACATATACATACTTCCACAACTTCAATTTGAAGATAAACACAAAAAACAAACCCACCAAGAAAACTAAATTATATTCTCCTAAATTGTATTTGAGTCCAAAATTTTCCTAAATTATATTCTCAAAGATCCAAAAGTCAAAAAAAAAATGGATATAATAAACAAAATCACAGTAGGCCATCATTGATGCATTTTATCGAACATTTGGCAGACGAGAAAAATGGGATTTGAACTCTAATGAGAGAAACCAAACATCACAACAACACCCCTAAAAAAAATTCTAAAAAGGCACTTGGCAAGAAAAAAAACCTTAAGTAATAGAAAAAACATGAGAAAAAGAAATTAGGAGAGGGTCATACCCTTTCCAGTTTGATGCCAATAAAGCCCCAAATTCCCCTGTTTAATGTCAAATAGTGAGCAAAATGAAGAAAATAATTAGCCCCAAATCGAAGGAGACATAGAGAGGAAGACAGAGACACACACACACACACACACACAGAGAAAGAGAGAGAGGGTGAAATCCACGCCTAACAAACCCACGGCCACGCCCCTCCCTGCCTCATCTACGCCAAACACCTCTACCGTTCTCGCCATTCGCTACCTAGCTCATGCTTGACAATCGTTTGGGTATGCTATTTGGACTCTTGAAGTCTACTATTTGGATGTTGAATGAGAAGAGAAGAGAATAGATGAGTGCGTACCGTTGATTGTCACCGCTGCCGAATCAGTTTCGCCGTACCGTCGAAGTGTGCACAGAGAGAGAGATTGAAACCCTACCCTTCCCTTCGCTTTTGAATCCTCTATCTTCTCCCTCTCTTCGCATTTTCCTCTGAATACAAAGAGATGAGGCTTGGGTGTCCCTTTTGAATCCTCTATCTTCTCTCTCTCTTCTCGTTTTCCTCTGAATACAAAGAGATGAGGCTTGGGTGTGTTTATTCAGTAAAAGGGTCGGTCCAGTCTTTTAAAAAAAAAATTTGAAAAATGAAAAACGACGTAGTTTCGTTTGCTAATTTATTGGCGACAAAAATTCTTCTGTCGCCATAAGTACCGTTCATCTTTTCCGCGACTATTTCATTTTCGTCGCCAAAACTTTACAATCGGCGACCAAATTTCGTCGCTATATGTTCATTTGGTCGCGAAAATATTTTTGGCGCTCCCGCCCAAAAAATTAAGTTGGTGCCAAACCTTTTGGCGACTAAAAATATTAACTCGTCGCCAATAGTGTACTTTTGGCGACAAACAATTATATTGTCGCCGATTATGTAAAATTGGCGACTAATTTCAGTTTGGTTGCTAAAAAGCGTCGCCAAAAATGTTTTTTGTTGTAGTGTTTTCTCTGTTTTCTCTTCCCGAAGGGAAGGAGAGGTCTCGTAGACCATCTCTCAGTGGCCGTAGGCTACGTTTCGTGGTCGTAGGCCATTTTTCCCATTTGGAGCCCAGTTTTCGATTTTCAGAGCCGTCGGCCGTGTGCCTCGGTTCGGGACCGCTTAACTACCTCCGTTTGCTCTGATTTTTGGCACACACCTTGCTTCCTCCCTTTTAAGGGACACTATGGCCCGGGAGACCACCTTCGTGGTCATACGCCACTTCCGGTGCCTAACAGCCTGTTTTCGGGGCCCCGAACCGCGCGTTTTGGGCCCCGAACCTTCGTTTTGCATCCATCTTGGTCCATTTTTGGTAGGGACCCTATTTTCATTGCTAGGGAGGTGGTAGGATGGTGGGAGGCCACCTTTTTCCCTGAAAAACCAGTTTTCTCTTTTTCTCTGTCCAAAAGCCAGTTTTTCTGACAGAAAGCTGGTTTTTCTCACTTTTGAGCCACAATTTCTGGCTTTTCATACCACCATTGTGTTGTGCTCATCTAGGAGGCCACCAATATGGGTAGGCCGACTAGTATTTCCTCTTGACCCTTTTGAACCCCTCTAAAAAGCTGGTTTTTCTCTCTCTTGGGTCACATTTTCTGGTTTTTAACCACACAGTTGTATTCTACTCATCTGGGAGGCCACCTTTCTGGGTAGGCCGACCAGCAATTTTGCTTGACTCTTTTGACCCCTGGTCGGCCGACCAGGGGGAGTGGCCGGCCAGCCACCTTAGCTGGTCGGCCAGCTTTCTGCTTTTTGCTCTTCTCAAGTGCAACACAGCTGTGCCAGCTGTAAAGCATTTGACCCACTGTCCAAGGGTTTTGTCCTTGTTTTGGTCCTTAAAAGGGGGTTTTGACCCCTTTGCTTGGTCGGTAGAAGGAGTTTGACCCTTTTGGTCAAGCTTCTTGAGGAAGCTTAACCCTTTTGGTCTAGCTTCCTCAAGAAGCTTTGAACCTCTCTCTTGGCTTCTCCAAGAAGCCTTACTTCTCTCCCTCTATATAACCAACCCTCCATCTCATTTTGCAAGGGTTAGACATTTTGGTTAAGGCATACACACTCCATCCTCCATAGCCTTCATCTCCAAGTTCCAAACCCTAATATTCTTGACCATTTTACACTACACCTCTAAGCCTAACGCCTTCACCATCCATTCCAGCACCTTGGAACTCATTTTCAGAGGTTCAAAGCTCACCAACTTGGTCCAGAAGCTGCTGGAGGTCGGCTCTACAAGGGCAAGTCTTCATTTCCCCTTTTCTAGCCTTATTTTGCTTCATTACTTAGCCCCATTTGCAAGCATTTTTGGGCCTCGACCTAAACTGTAAAGTGTCTTATTTTGAGCTTGTCGTCGACTTTGTTTAAGGGAACTTTGCTATTTGAGGTCATCTACTTCCCCTTACCCTCTATCTCTCTTTTAGGGCTTTTTTTGCATCATATTTTAGACTTACTTGTGAACATTTTCGAGATTTGTCATAAACTGAAAAAGATCTTGTTTTAATCTCCTCTTCAAGTTTGGTTAAGGTCTCTTTTCTGTTTGGGGTCATCTTCCCTCTATGCATGCTTCATCTCTTCATGATTAGGGCTATACATTAGAGCACTTGCATTGGCCATGGTTTGGCCTCTTAGCCACTGAAATCCAGTGGATTTTCAATGGCTTAGATGCATTTTTGAGAGCCAAAATCTGAGGGGAGTGACCCCCTCTCTCCTTGTCTTGTTTGGTGGTCTTGTTGGCCTTCCAAAGAGACCCCTTTTTGCATGCTTTGAAGTCATGTTCCAGGCCTCATTCTGAGGGTTTTTAGGTTTGCCTTATCTCTGCCCAAGGCCCTTTTGGCCATATTTTATGTCCCTCATGCATGTGTGGAACAACCCTCCTCAAGGCCTTTCAAGAGGACCTTTCATTGTATGCTTTATTGATCAATTTCAGACCCTTTTTGGTGAGTTTTAGGGCCGTCATAACTCATTTCCAGAGGTGGTTTTTCCATGTTACATGTCTATCTTGTATGTGCTTAATAACCCCTTGTATGGCCCTCTAAAGGAACTCATCATTTTTGCATGCATTGGTTGCATTTCAGTGGTTATTTGGGCATATTTTGACATGTTTTATTCACTGTTTTTGGCTGTTTTGATGAGTTCTCATATACTTCATACACATGCCATGTAAACCATGCTTGCTAGACAAATTTGCATGCTATTTTAGTCCATCATGTTAACACTTTTTGGCCATGCTTTAAACTAGAAATATGCGTGTTTTGGGACTGCCTTGGCTCTATCTTTGTACTTCATGGCCAAATAATGCTTGTTTTGCATAGTTATAATTCAATACATGTGTCTAGCTTTGAGTTTTGGGGCTTATTTCATGCATCGGGTGCCATATTTCCATGTTTTGGGAC